ATTCCTGTAATTCATATATGCTAGAAAAAATCTTTATTTTTTCAATTTCCCTCATTGACTTTTTCCCTAATATTAAAGTGTATATATATATATATATACTTTATATATGTATATATCTCCCTAATATTAAAAGTATATATATATTTCCCTAATATTAAAAGTATATATATCTTAATTTTTAAGTTGATGAGAATCTATTATTACATTTAAGCCCCATTTTACAAAATAGGATTCTGGGACTCGGGGAGGATAATTGATTTGTCTAAAATAACATAGCTAATATATAGAGCAGAGTTTGATTAAGATGTGATGTTTCTGATCCCCAAACCCATTATTTTCTATATGGGTAATTTTCTATACTTTCTAATATGGCATCTTCCCATTCGTCCCTATGATCTTTTGGGATGCCTGGGTTGCTCAATTGCTTAAGTGTCCAGCTCTTGATTTTGGCTCACATCATGATCTCATGGTTCGTGAGACCAAACCCCTGTTGGGCTCTGCACTCTCAGTATAGAGATTGGGATCTCAGTGCTTGGGATTCTCTCTCTCCCTCTTTATCTGCTACTCCCCCACTCGCACACATGTGTGCAGTGTGCATACTCTTCCTCCCTCCCTCTCTTTCACTCTCTCAAAATAAATAAATAAACATTTTTTTAAAAATCCCTATGGTCTTTTGCCATTCAGAACATACCGATCTTTGCTGACTACTTCTAATCAAGTCATTGCTCACCTCTCTTTAGATATTACTTGGTTTTCCTTGTTGATTCCCTGGTGTCATGCACAAACAATACAATGTGTTGTTTTCTACTATGTAGGTCAGTTGAATAAGCCACAGAGCCCAAGACCAGCTACCTGCCAAATTGCCTAAGTGAATATTAACACATTAATAATAGTTCTTTGAAGGCTGGATTTTACTATCATTTATTTGATCCCAAAAAAACTATATGATCTAAAACTTTATTTTCTTCTTCTATAGAGGAGATACAATTCATTTGAATCCTCTTTCAAGTCAACATAGGATCAGAAGATTTTTCAAAACAGATTTTACCTAATGTTTCCCCTTGAAATCAGTAAACCTGCATAATTGTCTAAGACTTGATTAGCCAGGTGGGAATCATCTTTCCAAAGGAAATCTAGTTGTTTTCCAATTGCTAGCTTTATTCAAGAGAGAAAGCATATAGGTCATCTTGTTTGGTCCTTATTTAAACACCGTCAAGCCTTTCCATTTGGACTACTTTGTAGTAATTGGTATGTTTGCACCTTCTACCCTGAGATTACTCAGAGCATTTCAGAATTTTGGCAAGTATTTCTTTAAATGTGTTTATTTTTCTTTCATTTATGTTTTGTTTCTGATAGGAAAAAAAAAAAAAAAAAAAAACGGCAGGGGAGAGAAGACCAGCATTTAGATGTATTGAAGGGAAGTAAAGTAAAAGTGCTGTACTGGATTTGTGTTCAAGAACACTGATCTTAAAGTGGGGGCATGAGATGTTCTTCTTATGTACAAGTTCTTGACTAATGTGTTTTTTGTTGAAATCAATTGGGACAAAGAGTCTAAATTTGGGAAAAACTATCACTTTTGCCAAACGGCATTTTTTTCTGCTGCCCCAAACTCAATTTCTTGAGTGTTTCCCATTTTTAACATCTTCCCATTTATCCCCTTTCTACCTGATATCAAACTGTGCCTGATTTGTTTCAGCTGCCTTTTTAAAGAAAAGATTAGTTATAAGGACTTAAGAATTAAAATATTACCTTTTGATTAATATCGGCACATTTGAAAAGAGGCTTTTAAGAAGAGAAAGATTTAACCCAAGGAACAGAATCTCAAATCATTGAATTTTAGACATGACAGTGCAGAGGTGGACTCTGGGAAAGGGAACAACCAGGGGATGGTGGGATGGGAAGGTTCAGGACTAGAGGAATCTTCTCAATGTACCAGCTTTTGTGCTTTATAACATTTGGCTGATTCTTTCTCCTCTCATATACCTGAATGGGTTGAATTTAAATTTTTGAGAGCTATTCTGTTGTTGGTTTTGTTTTGTTTTGTTTTTAAAGTTTTTTTTTTTTTTTTAATTTATGTATTGAGACAGACAGACAGACAGAGGGAGGGACAGAAAGAGGGAGAGAGAGAGAGAGAGAGAGAGAGAGAGAGAGAGAATCCCAAGCAGGCTCCACACTGTAGGCACAGAACCCAACGTGAGATCATGACCTGAGCCAAAATCAAGAGTCGGAGGCTTAACCAACTGAGGCATCCAGGCACTCCTTTTGAGAACTATTCTTAAATTCAACCCATTCTTGGGGTGCCTGGGTGGCTTAGTCAGTTGGGCGTCGGACTTTGGCTCTGGTCATGATCTCACAGCTTGTGGGTTCGAGCCCCTCTGTGCTGACAGCTAGCTCAGAGCCTGGAGCCTCTTTCAGATTCTGTGTCTCCCTCTCTCTCTGACCCTCCCCTGCTCATGCTGTTTCTCTCTGTCTCTCAGAAATAAATAAATAAATAATAAAACATTTTAAAATTAAAAAAAAATTAAACTCATTCCTCTGATATTTCAGTATATGACTAGACTCCTACCCACATAAAGATTTATATGTACCTCTATGCATAAGAGCTGAATTTAAACTTTTACTTAGTATAGGATCAATTTTCATATGGAATTATATGGTAATTATTTGCCATGTAATCACTATATTTTTATATAGCACTACTTATTTACCATATAACCACTTGGGCTTTGTAAGATCGCCCTTACCTCAGTTCCTTAAACTCTTCTGAATTTATTGCCAATGAGGGATTTTAAAATGTGCCAGTGTTACCATTTTGGTGTACGTGCTATTTTAAGATGTTTTAATTAAAGGCGCACCACACATTCTCCGGTTCCTCCAGTGATGTCTCATTTTCCTGTTCACATGTCTGAGAATCAGCTATGCAAAGGGTCACAAAAACAAGACAGCTTACCCTGTTGACTTCCACTATCTGTCACTGACATGCTCTTGACAAGTATTGTAAATTCCATTTTGGGTAACTAGTTAAATAATTTCATTATACTGCACACTCTTGAGTTAGATGATTAGAGGTTATTTACTGCAAAAACTGATGGTGACTTTCCAACCCATCATTTGCTAATTTTAGCCTCTTGGTAGGATGGCACAAGGTTCACAGCCAAACTCAGAACCTTTGAAGCCACTTAAAATTCTGTCCTTTTTCTACTCTGATTGCCTTCATTTTGTTTTTTCTTCTTAAAAGACTTTGCTTCAGAATGGAAAACTCTCTCTAAAATATGTGGCATGATTACCTTATACACCATTAAATTAAAAACTGAGAGGCAATCCATGCCTAGTACATTCCCCAAAGATAGTACAGTAAAGTCTTCATTGACTGCAGACATCAGATTATGCTGGTGAAATGTGGGGTTTTGTTTTTTATTTTTTGTTTTTTAATTTAACTGTCTTCTATTTCAGCAGCTACATTTACTATAAAGGGTCTGTTAAGCTGGTGTCCTTGGTGCTCCTGTACTCAGCTGACTATGTACAGCAGACTCTCTCAGCAAAAGAAATCCAGAACATAGAAAGTAGCTGAAAATACCAATTTCACACAAATTGGATCAGGTTCTACATTTTTAAATATATAATTTATCTCAACTTAGCACTATATAACCCTATAGAACTAGAGTTGATATCAACTATTTTGTTTCCAATTTCCCTCCTGTGTTTTATACTAATTGACAATTAAGAAATACTATTTCTACTAAATCACGTACGGACTTTGATGAATAGGAGCCCCAAGGCCACTAATGTGAGAGAATTTTTGTGTAGTATGTATAATTGTAATACTGTCAGAGATTTTTGTAGAGATAAAGCATGTATCATATTAAGAATTGAATACCCTAATGGCTCGTGGTGGGAACATTAGCTGGGGCCTTTACCTGTGATACAATTTTTTAAATAGTTGATTATTTTCTGTGAACGTTTTATTGCGTCAATAGCTGTTACGCAGTATATGTGGTTCATTTGTACAGTTCATGACTGTGTTCCTCAGAAAATGAGGTAAATAATTATAAAGAAACCTGACCAAATTTTATGAAATCCAACAGATGCTTTCCTTAAAACTGTTTTGGAACCAAATCATCTTCAGAGCAATGATGGAAAATGCTAGAAAAGTTGTAAGCCTTTCATTGTATGCTTTTTCTTTTCATAAAATCACCCAATTACTTAATTGGAAGTAGTTTCGTATCTCATGTGGTTTAGCTTAAGCATTATATTTTCCTTGACAATAATTTCGTTTGTAATGCCACGTTCTCCATGAATTCAAATCATGCACTGCATGCTTTTAAATGACTTGATGTCTTTGCAGATCTAATTTTGGTGTATTTGTATCTCAAATAATTCGCCAACTCAATATTTTGGCTTAGCAATCCAAATCAAATTGTGGTCCAAGTAGCAGGCACTCACATTGAATGTACAGAGACTTGACAAGCAATTAGCAATGAATATTTAAATGTCTTCATTACCCTTGCATGAGGAATGCAGATGGCATTTAGGGAGATGGCAACCAGAGGGCACTACTGTGAATTATGTTTCTATCAGTTGGTCACCTGACTATTGGAAGACTTTGTCTGGGCCCCATGCCACTCCTATACTTCTACTGTCTGGCTAAAAATAGAGTGTTCCAAATGTTGTAAAACAGGTTGCTTTCATGAAATTACTCCACACATTTTACAATGCAGGAAGATTGTCTCCAAGGATCCCAGCATATACCCTTTAGGCATACCAAACCCAAATGCCAAGACTATCTAGGGAATTCTAAGAATTAGAGTTCCTTGAAAAAAAAACCTGCTCCTCATTTGCTTCAGTTATCTCATCAGAATGTGCTGAATGTGCAAAGGTGAATAAATCAATATCCCATCCCTCCCAGAAGTTAATGCATTATATATGGCCCAAGAAAAAAAATGTCTTTGAATAATTATAATTTCCAGATTGAGCTCTCATTATGAATTTCTTTTTTTAAGGAAAAAACAACACTGGAGAGTCTGACTCAGCAACTGGCAGTTAAACAGAATGAAGAAGGAAAATTTAGCCATGCCATGATGGATTTCAATATGAGTGGAGATTCTGATGGTTTGTGAAAATTATTCATATATATACCAATAGTGTGCAAAAGTGACTAGCGTCTATTAAAACTACTAAAAAGTATGTAAGACAGCCGCCTAATACCTGATCATTTACAATAAGAGCTCGTGTGTACTGAGCAGTTCCCACGTGCCAAACAATCTGCTGAGTGTTCTGCATAAATCATCTCATTAATTTCTAGCACAGCCCATGAGGTAAATACTATTGCAAATAAAAAGAATGGCCCCTGGGAATTTTGAATCATCCTTTTTCCCCCAACATAACAGGGCTGTAAGTACCAGAGGCAGGTCTTGGATTCAAGATGGCATGATTCTAAAGCAAGTACTCTCAGTCACAGTCTAATCTATCTCTCACTTTCCTATTTCTTGTGCCCAAAGCAAACTTTTTAGAAGTTTGTATCTGTCAGTTCATTTTCAAGTTGTCATTTGTAAGCCTCTGACCAGAATACAAGGATCAGTGGACATTTTCAGGAATTTTTTCTTCTTTTGCATTGTGGAACCTTCCCTCTTATACTGTCTGCTATACAGTCCAGTGTCATCCCTACCCGTTGAACCCAACTAGCGCACCAGTTGCACAGCCTCGTGCTTTCCTCACATGCCTTCTTGTTGTCTGCATCATCTCTGGCCATCCTAAAATCCAAAATGACAACTAGTGAAACTGATACCCTAATTTTAATAGCATAGCAAAGAAAGTAAAGGAAGAAAGTGCTATTCCTCTCACCTTGAGCCCCAGCTGAGAATCTCCCTCCTGTGTCAAGTGCCATACATGCATTTTAAGAGCACTATCCTCAACTTTGTTACTATTGCAGAGGAAATTCCCTGAATGTAGAAAAGACTGCACCAGAGCAAACCATTAGGCAGCATACTTTAGGGCAGAGGGGATTGCCTTGAATTCCCCAACATACTTAGTTTTCTACTCTGTGCCTTGGCCCCCAGTTCTGCTTTAAGTCCACTACTGCACTAGCCATGAAACTAGCCAAACTTGAGCATGTAGCCAGATAATTTTATCAAAGTGAATTTTATTCACTTGGATATCCAATAAAAGTCAGTGTTTTCCTAGCCTGTTGGATCCAAACATTTCCTTCTATTTTTCCACATCACTTGGTTAAGATAAACCTGGCCCAAGTACATATAAAAAGCTCATTTAGCTTTGATGAAGTTACATAATGTTCATTTTATTGCTTATGTTGCTGTAAGGTGTAAAAGCAAGAAAAAGCAGATGTGCAAACGATCATCTGCTAGTTACAAACCCACTTTAGGAAGATGTTGCCGAATATTAGCACTCATTTATGTCAATAAAAAGACAATTACTGGTAATAAGACATTTTATAAATTTTAGCTTGTATTAGCATGATAAACTATACCCATAGTAATCAGTATTATAACATCAAAAAATTTGTTGCTGTTATTTGTTAAATTCAGTCATGCTTTTATGCAAAATATTTTCCAATCGTCATCAGACCAAAGAGCATAGTATGATTGAGAAATAATGAGAAACTCCACCAACAGGCATGCTGTGTTTTTGTTTGCTGCTATAGAAGTCTTCAAGTCTGGGTAATTCTGGTTAATTCCTATTTCTTCTAGTTGAGAAAATAAAGGAAGAGGAATATGAAAGAGGAATTAAAAAGCAGTGCTTTGACTAATGATGCAAGCTCTAGAAATCTCCAAATTATTTAAAAATTTTATATGCTATAAAAATATTATCTATTCCATATTTTCTAATGATAACCCTGGGAAATTTAGCATCACAGTTTTGTGTTTTCTTATACTTCTCCTGATTTTCTTTGCCTAAACTCAAGTATCTCTGGAAGCTGTTTAATCTGATAAAACTATTCTATAAAGTCATGCAAAGGCTGGAGGAGTGAATGCAGCTCCCAAAGTTTCTACTGTGACTCTCAATTGTCTTTTATCATCATGAGTCTTGAAAGGAACTTTCAGGGAGTCTCTGGATAACTTTAGATACTAGGGAGAAAATTCAGAAGAATGTATTTTAAATACGTGGTTGTAGACTTAAGAATCCACTGTTGTATATCTATTCATCTTTTTTTCCCTACCATTTTCAAATATCTTCTGGGGAGTAGGCTATCATGGAAGCATCAGCATCTTTCATGCATTTATCAGCACCAAATTGCAAATGAATATCAAACACATTACAGAAGAGTATCTTTATTATATTTTCACCTCAAAGTTTTATTTAGCAACATTTTATTTCTATAACCTCAGAGAGGAAATGGGCATGACTACTCTACGTTCTGCCTGTCTTTAGGTAGCAGGGACACAACCTTACCTACAGTCCATTGTGCCAAATGTGCTAGTATTTAACAATTTTCTGAGCTTCTACACGCATTTTAATATTTCCACAGTACCAGCATGCCTACCGGTATACTCCAACTGTTCTCTTTCCAATTTGCCTCAAAGATTACATACTCAAGTTTCCTGTGTCCTTTTGAAAGTAAATGGTGAAACAGTCCATAGTTCATTGAAAAAAAAAAAAGGAAAAATACATTAGAAATGGAATGAAAATGCAGATCCAACAATTGCCACTACAGGACTTATCAAAAACTTCATAAACAAGCATCTGTCTCAAGAACTGGAAGTACTATTATCAGCTGTACTTTTTACATTTGTATTTTAATAGACTAGAATAGATATTTCACAGGCAAATAGTCTATAGTAATGCAAAGAAGAGAATTACCAAAAATTTTAACAGTAACATGAAGCAATGTTCCCTATTTTTAGGAAGTGCTGGAGTATCGGAATCAAGAATTTATAGAGAATCCAGAGGGCGTGGTAGCAATGAACCCCACATAAAGCGTCCAATGAATGCCTTCATGGTGTGGGCTAAAGATGAACGAAGGAAAATCCTTCAAGCCTTTCCTGACATGCACAACTCCAACATCAGCAAGATATTGGGTGAGAAATGTATTGGTGGTTACCTGATGTATGGAATAAGTGTACAACTCTGTTTTCTGCAGTTGTTGAAAGGTACTGGCTTTGGAGGCCGGGCAGCTCGTGTTATCTATTTATCTAAAAAGCACCACCATTACTGAGCCTTTTCTTCTGATGACAAAGCATTTTATGTTCATTGAGAAATGTGCCCAGTTTTCGTAGCTAATTTAGTTGTGTACCTCTATCTTAACTGTTGTAATACTTTCTCTTCTTTAAAATCTAGAAATATTTTGTACTAAGACTAAGAAAGCAGTTCTTTTTGTATGAACCATTTGATAGTGGTAGTGACTATATTCATTCTTTTCCTTTGAACTACAAAATTCTTCATGTGATGGGGATGGATGTATAGATGATGATTATTCTGGTACTGTCACTGAATATCAGTTTAGAATGTCAGAGGACACAAGAACATGTAATGTGCGCCGTTTTTAATTTATACTTTTAGTAGCCTTAAGCCTGCTTTCAGCATCATTTAAAAAGGGACTTTTCCTGCCATTGCAGCTTTCAGCTTAACAGATAATAAAGTACATATTTGCCTTACGTGCATAGACACTGAAGCACACAGAAAAGATGGGTGACAGGTAAAAGTAATGATTTATCATATGCCAGTTTAAGTCCCAGAAAAAGGACAGAAGATTCCAATTTGTGTGTGCTCTTCACTCTACACCATCATCACTGTTATTGTCATTTTCCTCATCTTCTTCATCACGCCCATCTTCCAGATAGCGCGGTGGCCAGCTGCCACAAGTCCTAAGCAAATTTTGACTATTTACTCTCTGGCTGCTAAGAACTAAACAACAAAAACAGAATAGGAACACTTAACTCGATCAGTAAATTTGGACTTCAACAAATAAGTGGCATTCCTCTAAGTTATTAAAGCATTATTACAATCCATAATGCACTTGGAATTATATGTACTTAACGGCAGAGAAGCGCTCCTTTTGATCCATTACATGAAGGAACTGATCGTCTAAAAGTAGCTACTAAACATATACGTGCATTTTTATGCTCTCGTATTCTCAAATTCTCATGTTACTGGGTGGTAATAGATGCCATCCAGTTCACAGTATGCATTTGTAGTGACACTAAAACAAACAAAAATTATCAACCACTTGAACTTATGTCTCAGTTTTCATCCAAAATGATTTTGAAATCCTGAGATGAATGTCATCTCAAAAGACAAGAGTATGTAAAGCTTTAGGTGTATAGAAAATGGGAATATTTATAGATATCTATGTATCTATCTATATATACATATATATATATATATATCTCCATGTATAACCAAAAAATGAAGGTAATCAAAAGGAAATGCATCTTTTTATACCACCACCATCTCTTACCTATTTTTTCTTTTTATGACAATATTTTACCTTCCATATGAAATTTTCAATTTAAAAAAAAATATCTATTCCACTGGGAAAAACACTAGACAAAAATAAACACACTATATATTAAAATATTCCATATTTTAACATATCAGTTATCAAAAAATTAGCCCAAGATGTCAAAATGAAAAAACAAACTAAGTACTAAGGTTGTTTAAACTGTCTTTATATCATTCAATTCATGTGTCTGAATACTGGAAAAGTGATAATCACTGATTCAAACTTTATCCTAAGTATAAGAGAAATAACCGCTTTGATGATGTGAAATACTTTAGGAGATGTAGGAAAAGACTTTATGGGAAAGAGGTGGCTAGCTACAAGAGTTTCTTTCCGGTTTGAAGGAAAGAATGTTAGGATGACCATATGGTTATATCACAGTAAGCTACATGAAAAAGAGTGCTGCCTAATTTTAGACTTTTCAATAGAATTATATTAATTAAAGATACAGCAGGGGAGAACAAACACTGAGGTGTTTGGGACCTCGATATTTGGTGTTAGCTTCGAATAAATAAGTGATCTTCAAATATTCACAAGATCATTCTAACTGGCCCATTTCATATAAAAGTACAAAGAAAGCTTGATGTTTTCCTCTCTACTGATTGTTTTGGATAACAGCCTCCGACAGCATGCCGCTAATTCATTCTGCTTAAAACAGGCGCTTGAGCTGGGTTGACATTTTACGTAGTCTCTGGGGATCCTAGTTGACATTTTAAAGGGCTTCTAAGCATTTTATAATACCCTAAAATCTGGTTTTAATAAGCCATTCTGCTGAAATTGTTAACATAAGGAATCACCTTTTACTGTTTGGCGCTAGATCAGGGGATGGGGGACATCTTTTTCTGATTAGATATACAGTAGTTGGAGTAAAATGTGCAAATTCATTACAGACCCCATGGAGATCACAATACTGTTCAGCTCAAACTCTTCATTTTTATTGCATTGCCAGATTTAGAAAGGAAAAGAGCACTTTCAAGACTGTTTTATTTTTCCTATTTTGATCAGATTTTTTTTATGGAATCTTCCTCTTTGTCATCAAGAGGAATACCCAAAAGTCCTTCTCCATTTTTTCATTGTAAAAGGCCCGTCTTTTGAGAAAAAGCAGGGAACTTAACTTCCTGCACATGGTCCAGTTTAAGCAACCTGCCACACCTTAAATCAAGTAGATGCAGTCATCTTTTTCCGAGACACCTAAAATCCTTTCCTACCGTTCACATCTAGCATCTCAATGTTTACATTGTAGCTACATACAGTGGACGTTTTGCCTGCAAAGCCATTAAAACTCAAACCAAACCTGTCATTTAATTATTCAAAAGTGATTATTAAAAACTGAAAACTGCATTCACCACCCAACCGAAACACTGCTTGTTCTGCGCGGTCGTGAACCAGCATAGTTAGCCATGTTGCCAACTACAGACACTGCTTATGCTATCTTGATTCTTCATTTTAAAAGGACTTAGAAATATGCCCTGACCATCTTTTAAAATATAACTTAGGATTCAGCACTACTTCCGGAGAAATCATAGTATCAAGTGTCTAAATATTTTGTGATTCCAGTTCATGCCAGATTTAGAAGCCAGCTTGTCTAAGAATTTACACATCTTTGGATTGACCCCAACTCCTTATCATGTTCATATAGCTTCCTGCACTTTCCCCAATTATAATTAAAATAATAATTTTTTAAATTAGCTGTTTAATGTATTTCTTCTCCACTGGAATACGAGCCTTGGGAAGATAAGGAACAAATGATTCACCACTGCATATCCAGTAATTAATACACCATGGTGCACATAGTAGGAAATCTAAAAAGAGTTATCACATTCCAGGACAGGTTACAGTAAGGCATAAGCATTCCCTTTCCTTAGAAAAATATATCCTTTCTGAGCTTATAGAACATTTAGACATTGAGAAGTATCCTTAGCAATTTCTATCCTAATTGAGAATGCTAGTTCCTTGGTTCTGTCTGGTGATAAAGATAGGGAATTTTAAAGTCAACCATCCTTGGTCATTTTTCAGAGTATTTCTATAACTATGAGGTAAATTATTTCTGGTAAACTCACTTTTACAGTCCCTGATCTGAAGTTCAAAATTATGTTATACATACTTGTAAGAAACTTCCCAAAAAGAACTGATCCAGTTCAATAGTATTATAGCTTTACCTGTATTTATATCTGCCCTGAGAATAAGATGATGGTTTTAAGTACTTCTAGAGAACAGTGTTGGACAATAAAGAGTTTGAGATTATACCTACAAATTATAGGATGTGACCATTTAAATACAAGTTTGAGAAAGGAATGGAAAATAAACTCTGTGATTTGAACTGTAACCTGGATTTCTGTAGTAAATAGAATAAAATCATATTGGCCATCTAGATTGGAACAAAAATCTGTTTATAAATTTTTGTAACATCTACATGGATATACCCACCCAGGCAACATCTGTTCTGACAGGAAAGAATTCTAAGGGATGAAATATTGTCCTTTTTACTCTATTCCTTTAATAAATAAAACAGCCTATATTGAGGATTTTCTGCATGTGTAGAGAAGAAAGGTTCATCAGTGAGCTAGTGCATTTGATATATGGAATTATGGTTGAGTAATGAACCTATTCGAAAGCCTGAAGATCTTACTTAGATGACTTTAGAAGGCAGGTAAAGGCTTCTGTGCCAGTATGTATTTGGTACAGGACCCGCAATTCCAGTAATTTTGATCCTCGTGTATTTGGGTAGAGTTGAGCTGATTACTTGCTGATATACACACTTCATCTGCACACAGATTCTCCCCACATGCTTAATAAAAAATAAACATTATTACTTCCACTTCTTTTACTACTATGCAGACCCATACTAAGAGAATCAAATCTTTAAATCACATTTATATTGAGAATTAGCACAACTGTTTTTAACTCTTTTTTTTTGTTTGCAATCCTAGTTGAGTCCAAACCAAAATCAAAAGTGAAAAGAAAGGGAACACCAATTTGGATTGACATTATTAATGCATACTCGATCACGAGAAGTGACATCTTTATATGTTATTGAAAGTGATTTATTAAGAGAAAAATCTTACCCCATACATACTTATTATTGTAATTCTGACCTCTGCTAGGCCATAGATAGCAGGTGGGTATAGGTATGTAAAAACATACATTGCAGCATACTTTCAATTACATCAAACCTGGGCTTGAGTCACAGATTTGCAATTTAATAATTGTGTGACCTTGGGTAATTTACTTCTTATATTTGAACTTCAGTTTTCTCATTTATGGAAATAGCTGTAAATGCTCTCTTACAGGATTACGATGAAAGTTAAAAATGTGACAACTTATGTAAAGTTGTTAGCACAGTACCTAGCACACAGTGCATGTTCGTTAATATAATTTTTTGTAATTTAAGTTTTAATGAAATGAATTTTTAAATGCAATCATTCATGAAACCATACTTAAACATTTTGAGGAGAATTATACATGTTGGAAACCCTTGTAGTAAGTAATGCACCCCCACATAAAAATACTCACTACCTAGATAATTAGCCACAGATTGAAAATACGTAATAAGTTTTTGCACAACTTTTCAGTTGAATTAGATCATGGTCTAATGTTGAAATAAAAGGTATATTCTTAACATTAGCTGTGAGCTCTTAAATAAATACATAGTATACACATTTGGCTAAATTGTTCATTCCAGCCAGGGGAAGGGGGGGGGGGCAGGGGAACAGATTGGCCAGTGTTTGTACCTTTGGGTACACAATTTCCTCAACACAGCCACCAACACCTCTGTTCTTGTGAGATGTCGCCTCTTGAGTCATAGTTCACTAATCAAACACATTTTTATGTATTTCTGGGCTGTAGCCAACATTTTTATTTTAGATTTTCTTGTTCACAGTTACATCTTTTTAGGAACCTTAGCAGCTGTGCAAATTGGAATCCTAACCTTCTTTTCCTCATAGGATCTCGCTGGAAAGCTATGACAAACCTAGAGAAACAGCCATATTATGAGGAGCAAGCCCGTCTCAGCAAGCAGCACCTGGAGAAGTACCCTGACTACAAATACAAGCCCAGGCCGAAGCGCACCTGCCTCGTGGACGGCAAAAAGCTGCGCATCGGTGAATACAAAGCAATCATGCGGAACAGGCGGCAGGAGATGCGGCAATACTTCAATGTCGGGTATGGACCTTTCCGTCCTTTTTTTCATAGGGAACACTTCTTGTTAGGCTTAATGGGATGCGAACCATATTTGTTGAGCTGCAAAGCAGCATTTTGAAAAAAGAACTTGACCTCCGTCTACTTTGAGAGACTAGCCTGTCTGCCACGTGATCCCTATGAGACCACCCTGAGTTCTTAGAACAATGGCTCTAATACGAGCTTTACTCACCCTGACTTGAAGATAAAATATCTGATAGTAAATAATTTTGAAGCTTGTTATTAACAACTTAGAAGCATTATTGGCCCTTTTCTTTGTTGGTTTTCATTACTTGCAAGGCTTCCCATTGACAAATTCCACAACATCTTGTTGAGATAATACAACATAAAAATGATTCCAAAAGAAAGAAACACTTTTGAATAGGGAGGGATTTCTGGGCTCTCAAGGCACATGGGTGGCCTTTGGAGATCACACAAAGTGGGGATTCTATTTAAGGGAACTTTTAAAGTCTGCTGTTAACCTGTTCCCTTGAAAGAGCCTGCCTGCTCTGTCCAGTGGCCCATGATTTACATCCCGATGTACAACTCTTCTCAAAGCTGAGCATGAAACCCAACACTTGCTAAGGAAATAGTAAACATATGAATGAATGAAAGAAGGCAGAAATGAACATCATCGATTAATCCCTTCCCACTAGGACCAGCGACATAATTTGTGAACCCCGAGCAAAATGAAAATGTATGGGGTTCCTATTAAAAAGTTAAGAATGTCAAGACTGTGGCAACAACTTTAAAGCAAGCAAAGGATCTGTCAAGCCCAGGGCCCTGTCTGGCTGCAGAGCTGTGCACCCCCGAGTCTGGCCCTGCTTCCCGTCCCCCCCCCTCCCCCCGCTACTGCAGGGACCAGGTGGACAATGTGATCCTGTTCAGTTCCAGTGAGTTCTGAGCAATCAAGTGTTATTTGGAGAGCTCTCATATTTTAGGGATTTTTTCCCCCCATTACAATTGAATTATCTTTAGTTTGGTTACTTCTAAAACTCTGGGTGTTCTAGTGAAGGAAAAATGAACTTGGGGTCAAGGACTGGGGTTCTTCCGCTTAATCTTTCTGCACCTCAGGTGTTTTGCGTAAGAGAAGATAGGAATAAAAATTATTTTAAGGATCAGATGGGTAACCCACATAAATGCCTTGTAATCTAGAATGCACTATACCCAAGTAAGGTATTACAGTCACAGCAGGATGCCATTTTTTAGACGTTGGGCAATAAGATGAAAATCACTAGTTTAGAATTGAACAAGCTGAGCAGTTTCATTATACAGTGAAGCCTGCATCTGACTATCCCTTCACCCACAGTGTGTTTTTGGGAATTGCTCTCTGACAGGCAACAAGCACAGATCCCCATCGCCACTGCTGGTGTGGTATACCCTGGAGCCATCGCCATGGCTGGAATGCCCTCCCCTCACCTGCCCTCGGAGCACTCAAGCGTGTCTAGCAGCCCTGAGCCTGGGATGCCCGTTATCCAGAGCACTTACGGCGTCAAAGGAGAGGAGCCACATATCAAAGAAGAGATACAGGCTGAGGACATCAACGGAGAAATTTATGATGAGTTCGATGAGGAAGAAGATGATCCAGATGTAGATTATGGGAGTGACAGTGAAAACCATATTGCAGGACAAGCCAACTGATAAGGGTCAAAAAATGGTTGTGACCTTAGGACTTAAAGAAGCCCTAGCTGGTTCATCCTTACCAGTGGCCAAGCACATTAACTTTCTCATACACTGACTGTTACCTTAACTGTTAGTCTTAAATAGTTGGGACATCAGCTGACTAATAGACCTCAGCCTCAAAAGGCTTGGAAAGGAAAAAAAATACAAGCAAACAACAATATCAACAACAAGAGATTGAAATAAGCTATGGGTAAAATAATGCCAGTAATTCAGCTGCTACATCCAAGCACTGAAGTCTTACCCGTCAACTTTTTTTTTTTTTTTTTTAATAAACTTTATGGCTGTTTGTTCTACAATGTTCTAGAAATTCTCACTCAGGTACACAGTGCCAACAAGTGGCTTGTGAATGTGTTTTGTTGTTTTGTGCTACAATTTTTAAAAAGAAATAAGTTTTGTTTTGTTTTTTGGGGTTTCTGGGTTTTTTCCTTTTCTTTCTTTTCCTTTTTTTTTTTTTTTTTGTAATGCACCTGACAGAAAAAAGAAAGATGAATTTCTCTTTACTTCTCTCCACCTTCTCCATCTCTATACTTAAAAGATGGAAGTCTGTGCATGGGGGGGAAGAGGGAAAAAGAGCCTGTTTTTAACTTCCTTGCTATCCACCACAAAATAAGCAGTTATTTTCTTCAGAGGACTTTCTTTGTCTATTGCACACCACACTACATCTTTGAGCAAGTGCCAAATTTGTACTGAAGTGTTGACCCAATTCCTTTTTTTTTTTTCCTTTCCTTTTTCCTGTTCCTTCTTAAGTTAGGACAGTGTTATATCTTAGACAATCCCTTGGAAAACCTGAAATACCAGCAGCTGGTGAGATTTGACTTTTTTTTTTTTTTTAATGGAAACTGTAGGTGCTGTTCTCAGGTGAAAAGAGAGAGAGAGAGAGAGAGAGAGAGACATAAGAAATTTAGAGAAAAAATATTTTCTGATCTTGGATTTTTGTGTGTATGTATGTGTGTGATTATGGTACTAATAGGAATAACATTGAACCATTGTGAGTTAAACCCACATCTGGGGATGAAATCCCACATCCTCCTAAGTGACTGGTCTGGAAGCAACCTTGACCTTGACTTTGCACTTCAAATGACAACCAAGATAGGGCTCAGAAATTATATTTTTAAATTTCTAATATGATTATTATTGGATGGATCAGGTGGCCCTGTGTAATAGAGGTGTGCACGTATAACATGGAAGCTACTAGCAAACTGTTCCCAGATGTCCCTTCTTCCTGGTCAGTTGGTTCCACTAATGTTTGCTACTTCATAATTTCTGCTTGTTTTTCCTATTGATAACTTTGAGCAAAACAATCATTGTTTTCCTTGAATATATTTGGCCGTTTTCCAGGAACACAGAATTAGCTTATTTCTTCAACATTCCATCCTTTCCTGATCAGGAAATGGAACTGACGATTTTATAAGGTATTTTTCATCTCTCCATGAAATGAGGCGGAGGCCATTTGCATTTCACAATTGTGGGCCATGTGCATCCCATACCATAAAGAGCAGGATTTGATTAAAAGTCATTGCAGCCCGACAAAATGGAGCCTGGCTGAACCCAGTGAGCGTCGCTACGACTCTTCCCTCGCTGTAAGAGGAATCCAATCCACTGAAGTCCAATTTTTGGTTCCAGCAGAGTATGTGCGTAGAGCGACAACTGATGGTGAACAGAACCGCTTATTTAGATTTTGCCAGCCAAATGCCACGGCAGTTATAGGGCTTGTACAAATAAACGCAAAATCATTTAAACTCAGTTGCCATTATTTGTGCTGAAGCATCAGACAGCAGATACTCCAACCAGGAGCTTGGATGTGCTATGGTTTTCACTCCAGTCATCATTTTGCTATCGCACCCCTCAAACCTGACCCAAAAGTTTGATTTTTACATATAAATAAGAAAGAAAATTCTTTTTTATTTTCTCTCTCTCAAAGACTTGCTCTGGGGTTTTGCTTGGAGGAGCTGATCATATCTTGCATGTCAGAGATTTTGTTTTGTTTTTCTGTTTGTTTTTGATGACTGTATTTTCATTTGAACTGCCTCTTTTTGCTAGTGTTGTAATGATGATGATGATAAAATAATAATAATAATAATAGTAATAATAATAATAATGGTCAGCTGTTCCCAGATTAGTAAGTTATGTATAATTTATTTCTCCCTCTCTATTTTATTCTCCTCTGATTTGGAAGTACAGCCAATAAGCTGTTAGATATTTAAAACAAATTTCCACCTTCCAACTCATATATATATATATATTTATACACACACACACACACACACGCGCGCAAACACACATGCACCCACACAATTTTACTTCTCCTTCGATATGTTTTCTCCTTTTTTAAAATTTGGCCCCCAACAATATCAAGTTCTGGTGTTTCATACAAAGGAGTGAATAGGAGGGTCGTGTTCAATCTTAATTAACTTATGCTCTCATCACTCATTTTAGTTATGTAATTGCCACAGTCATCTAGAGCCATTTTTTTTTTGTTTCTGTTTGTTGTTTTTAAGCACTCTGGATAAGGAAAAAATAGACACTCGTTTTATATCGTTATGTACAATGTGAAAACAGATTTTTAAAAATTTGTTCTTCGTCTTTGTTAACAAATTCTTATGTGGGTTCACCTCTCACGTTTGCTGGATACTTATTTTACACCACGTTATAAAGATGCTTTGTTTTCATTTCATGACTTTGGGCTACAAGAATACTTTGTTTTAGCTCCAGGTAGATGCCACTGAGGGCAATCACAGCTGAAACCAATTCTAACACACTTACCAGTGAATTGACAAAACACTTCTGTGTGGTCTTTTTTTTGTTCATTTTTTATTCTGTTTTATTTGAAGGGGAAAACGAAATTGTTAATGGTGACCTTTAACTGCTGAAATTCAGAAGTTAATTTTATTTAGTTAGGCTTATGTCAGAGAGACTACACCATGCGTGGACTAACACAGGAAGTCCACAGCCCTGCGTTCTGTTCTCTTGTTCTGACATAGGATTCACTGGGTGTAGCAATTTCTTTGCCTTAGTTTTCCCCAAAAGAAAGCGAAAACAAATTACGTTGATGTTTAAAGTGCTTTGAAGTCATTTGATAAAAGGTGCTATGAATAGCAACTTACTGTGTTAACACACTTCCTTTTTGGCATTCGATTGGTTTATCGTTTTTATAAAGGATCCTAAAACCTTGTATTCTTTTTCTGTGCCCCATGATGATCAAAAAAGCTAATATAAAGGAAATGAGAGTAAGATCAAACTGAAATGAAGCTAACATTTCCTTACTCTACCCTTTCCTACCTCCCCGTTCATATATCCCTCTCATTTTCTCTCTCTCTCTCTCTTTCTCTCTCACACACACACACGCATGCACACACGCATACATGCACACACGCACACACTCATCCCAGTACTGAGGAATAATCTTGTCTGAATTCTGATTTTGTGACTATTGTGATCAATTCATCTAAAAATAGTCATGTTTTAATATGAATCTAAGAGAATATCACTGGAGAAAAGAGGTTAAAGTTGCTCATTTACAATTTACTACTAATTTGGCTGGTTGGATAAAATATAAAACTTTGGCTTGGCAATTGGATAAAATACAAAACTGTTCTTCAGTACACTTATAGCTAAATTATAGAAGTCCATTTTTTACATTTTTTTGGCATCTGCATTTAAAAGGTAACCATATATAAAATCCCTCCCAAAGATCATAATTATTATTAAAACCAAACTCTCTTATAAGGAACAAATATGAAAGTTTTCTTTGATGAAATTATTTTGTAGATTTGATTTTGGAGTAGACTTTTACCTTAATTCATTTAAAGAAAATCATCTTTAACTATTTTGTGGTCCCAATTTCAGATATTTTCTTAATTCAGAAGTTGTTACTATTTCCAGAAGAAATCTCGTATGTCACACTTAAAACATCAAAAGTAATTACATTTTCATTCATTCTAATGGGTAAATTATTGAATTGTAATAAACAACTGTATATTTGCAAACAGGTTTATAAAATATCTATCAAGTTAACAGTAAAAATGATGGGGTCTGCAAGGAAAATTATGAAGCCCACTTAAAGTGGTTCAGATATCTCTTTGTCTTATAGGGCATAAGTTTTTGTTTAGACAGGCTTTTACAGTATTTAATTTTAAAGTTTCCTATAACTATCAGTTTCCCAAGTTGAAGATGATGTTGTGTTAAGTTTTCTACTGATTGATTCCTGTTCTCCCCAGTGTGTCTGTCACTGGTTCACTAAAACAGTATTTATACAGCTCCACTGGCTCTAAAGCTCTTAGTCCGTCTAACATTTTGGATTTTATGAGTAAAAATGGGGAAAAAAGTAGAAAAGAGACAATCAAATGCCTGGAGCTTAAAACAAAGTATGTGCAACCTACCATCTCACTTGAAATTTAATAAAATAAATAATTATGTAAATATAACATAGAGTTATAGATTTATATTTTGTTCATAACACATAGTGTAATATAAGTTGTATATTTTCATGTTTTTGGTTTTATGTTACCATTCATGCCACAATAAAAATAAAACAGGAGTTGATGTACTCTTAAAAAAAAAGATGTGGGTTGCCACCAACCTGTTTTTTGTTTGTTTTTTTTTGTTTTGTTTTTTGTTTTTGCATTCTCTTTTTTTCAGTATTACTGCCATGCAAGGCACCAATAAAAACAGCAAATGTGTTCTTTACCTATTATACTGTGTTTCTTTTCACGATTCTTGTTTTGAGGGCATAATCTGTAGGTTTATAATGAAAAGAATAAAAGTATGGAAAACTATTTAGTTTTCAATATAAATCACCCCAGTTCCTGAAGTTGACTTTGAACTGAGAGCTAAGGGTTTAGTTCTTTGTGGTGAACCTTGCAAGAAGGACTCCTGCGCCTTTTTATAAGGCGTCTCCTCCTCCAGAGATGGAGCTTCACTGTAAGGTCGAAAGCTGTAGCTCTCATAGGTAATGGAGTCTAGTAATCTTTAAAATCCTACAGCCTGAAGCATTTTTAATGTTCTTCTCCTAAGCTTGACCCTATCATTGGGGCAATCCTGTGTGTATAGAAAACATATACATTTCAGGTTATGAAATCACTAAGAACTAGAAATAATTTTCATCTTGCTGGCATCTAATTTAGGATAATGGGTATTTCTAAATTGTTCAACACTCGTACATTAGCCTCTGGATTCTACCTTCAACTTTTAAAGCAAATGTTACAAAATAGAAGTCACCATTTTTGCTGGTCTTTCCCGCCATATGATGTTTTTCTATCTTGATA